CTTTTTGAGACAGGGTCTCCCTGTAGCCCCAGCTTCCTGGAACTAAGTAGACCAGGCTGGCCTTGAACTCACAGAGATCCGCCTGCCTCTGCCTCCCGAGTACTGGGATTAAAGGCGTGCACCACCATGCCCGGCTCTCATCCTTATCAATTTTTATTCCCTTGTTTTGGAGACAGGGTATCACTATGCAGTTTCTATGTAGAAACATAGCAAATTCTAGGCCAGTCAGGAACAGGCTGGCTCATAGAGATCTACCTGCTTCTGCTTCCTGAGTGCTAGGACTAAAGGCCTCAGTGGTTTGTTTTTTTCAATTTCAAGATAAAAGATCTACACAGCAAAAGAGACCAAACTAACAAATTCATGAGAAGAGACATGGACACTATCAAATCTTAGGAAGAGACTGACTTGAAGGCTGGGGAGATGGCTAAGTGGGTAAAGTGCTTGCTCTGCAAGCATGAGGATCTGAGCTCAGATCCCTGCACTCATGTAAAAGGTGGCTATGTCTCATGTCTATATAACCCCAGAGTTTGGTAGAGACAGGCAGATTCCAATAGCTCACTGGCCAGCCAGTGTAGCTCTAACAGAGAGTTCCAGGTCCAGAGATGGCCCAGTGCTGCTCTTGCAGAGGACCTGGGATGAGTTCTCAGCACCCACATGGCAGGTAACAACCGTCCGTAACTGCAGTTCCAGGGGATTCCAAGGGCCCTTCCAACTACAATGGAACCTCTATACCTAAAGCTCATGGAACATAGTGGAACAAGAGGTAGAGAGAAAACTAATGCATCTCTCAACTCTCATCAACAAAGCTCCTTCATGCAACAGAGAGCAGTGATCACAAAAGGCCACAAATAGCCAAAGCATAGAGAACAAGAGACTGAAGAGTACGGGTCCTTGGACAGGACTCCTATATTAAACTTCACCCACCCAGGGCTCAGGGACCATTGCAAAAGAGGTAGAAGATTCTAAGAGCCAGAGGAGGAAATGCATGACCATATGGAGACAAGAGTCTGACAGGCACCTGGGACCTTGCTCATATGAACCTATAGCAATAGTGTCAGCATGCACAAGAGCTATGCAAACTCAAGAAGACAAAAACCCAGCACAGATCTAGGGAAATGGGCAGCAAGCCCCAATCTTAACTGAAGAACAATTGGCAGATGATTACTGTTGAGTGAGGGAGAGTTGATGTTCTTTAAGAAAGGGACACTAAACAGGCTCACTAGGCCCCAATGGATGACTTTGCACTGAGGGATGTCTGGGTACACTAACTTGATTAGACAGGCCTTAACATAAATGACAGAATGCATGAAATCCAGTGAAGGGGCTATGGGAAGGTCAGGATACAGGAGGGTAGGATAGGGGAGGGGATATAAAAATAATCAATGTTGTATATAAAATACACAAAAATTTAATTTAAAATGTATTTAAAAATTCTACCTTAAAAACTAAGAGCAATAGAAAAAGATATCTGACATCAACCTCTGGCCTCCACACGCTCATGAATGGGCTAGCATACCTGAATGCAATGTGCACGCACATGCACGTGCATGCACACACACACACACACACACACACACAAATAAAAGACTGCATTATTAAAAAGAAATGTTTGTGTAAAAGTATTAAGCTTTGTTAAAAGTACTAAACTATGTTAACAAGCACCATGCAAGCTAAGTGGATTATTACATCCATTGTACCAAAAATAAAAACCAAATTAAAAAAAAAGAAAAAGAAAAAGAACAAAAACCCTGATACTCAAAAATAATGTTCTTCATCAGTGAGATGGTTTGGCCAATAGAGACACTTGTCACCAAGCCTGAGTTCAATCCCCAGGACCCATATGTGGAAGAGAATCAACTCCTACAAATTGTCCTTTATCCGACGGCCACACAAGCAAGCACCAAGCACCCCCAACACACACACACACACACACACACACAAAAAAACACCCGAATTTTAAAATTTTATTTAAAAACGTAGAAAAAAATTACTGTTCTTATTGACCTATCTCTTTTTAACTCAGAGACATCAGGGCTGAGAATATAGCTTCTTTACAGACCACTTGATGCCCCCACCCCGCCCCAGCCTTGATTCCTAAACACTGGGGCGAAAAAGAGTTACAAACTCATTATACATGCATGATTAGTTCACTGGTACTTCTTTGCCTTGAAAATATTACTAGTGACAACCCTTTATAATTTGCTTACCTTTGTTGAAAGTACTTTAAATGTGCTCTGTTCTGGTATTATAGGATGAAGCAATCTCAGTTTCAAATTGTAATCGTCTCCAGAAGGAAGTTTCACCAAAGCAGACAACTAATGAAAACAAAGTATCATATTCTGTAAATTTATGTTTATATATAACAAAAGGTTAAGTATTTAAACTAAATATAGAATTTTGGCAAGGTCCTAGATTAAGTACTTTACATAAAATATCAATTTTTTTTTTTTTTTGGTCTTTTTGAGACAGGGTCTCCCTGCAGTCCCAGCTGTCCTGGAACTCACTACGTAGACCAGGCTGGCCTTGAACTCACAGAGATCCGCCTGCCTCTGCCTCCCTAGTGCTGGGATTAAAGGCGTGCACCACCACGCCCAGCTAAAATATCAATTTTTAATTTAGTATATGTGTGGGCACATGTGTGCCATGGCATGTATAAGGGGGGGTCAGAAGAAAACTCGCAGGAATCTGATCTCTCCTTCCACCATATGGGACCCAATGATCCAACTCAGATCATCATGCTGGGCAGCAAGCACCTTTATTCACTAAGCCAGTTCACAGGCCCTAGAATATCAGATTTAAGGACTCAAAATAATCTTTTTCATGTGGCACCTCTCATTTGAATTCTCATATATTTAACTAAATGCAGAAAAAAATGTTGCATAATACTAATTACATATTTAATTTCATATACTTAACATTCAAATCCCAAGAAAACAGAAGAGCAGAATGATACAGCCCACAGCAAAAAAAAAAAAAAAATTCATGTGTAAAAATATAATTATACCACACTACTGGTCTTGAATACCCATGATGAAGTCCTACACTGAATACTAAGAAACACAGTTACTAAATCATACTCATTTTAGAATACATATAGCTAAGTCAAATACAACTCAAAACGTCTATCAGTAAGTTACTAATGGCAACCTAGTTCTGTTTAATGTTCCAAATCTGACAGAAAATGCACATAAGCCAGGTATGGTGGTGTAAGCCTGTATCCTTGCACTCCAGAGGCAGAGGGAGGATTGCCGCAACCTCAAGGCCAGCCATAGCTACAGGGCATGATTCTGTCTTAATACAAACTAACAAAAGCACATCCAGATACAAATGCACATCCAGATAAGAGTGTACAGCAGGTACTTCAAAATTTAAAATAATCAAAGTCAAAAGTGATGCTTCAGATTTGATTCAGTAGTTTCCATAACATCCCAGGAAGAAATGGAATGAAATAAACTGGTATAAATTATTCTACATACATTATATTTGCAATAGTATTTAGCCTTCATATAAAATATGATTCAAAGTCTACCTCTTTTTCTGAAAATTCCACATTTACATCATTCTTCTGAACATTCTTGATCATAAGTGTAATGATTACTTGAGATTCTGTTTGATACCAGTCATACCTATTTAAAAAGAAAACATCCTTAATGCAACTTCTAATGTTCTTAAAGTTATTTGTCAAAATAATGGTCTGATAAGTAACAACAGCTCCACCTTGAGGAACAAAATAACAAAGCAGCTGTTAACTCAGAAATAATTTTATGTAACTGAATTTCTATTATCTATACCAACGGAAGAAAACAGTAAGGCAGACAGATGATGGCTAAACCTTTCCAGTAGACTTAAAAAACTTAATTTTTCAATAGTATTGTGTTTAAGCTAATATTAAAGATGAAAATTACTCAACAGTTCCCAGTTATATACATCACCAAAAGTTTCATACTCTTATTTCCACATAATACTAAGATGAAGTAAACACTTTTATCCCTTTTTTTAAAAACAGATAAGAACACAAGCTCAAAAAAATGAAGCAATCGGCTGAAGAGGGCCTCTGATTCTCCTGGAACTGGAGTTAAGGATGGTTTGTAGCTGCCATGTGGGTGCTGGGAATCAAACCCGGGTCTTCTACTAGAGCAGTCAGTGCTCTTAACTGCTGAGCCATCTCTCCAGCCCCAACACTAACTTTTAACTATGTAGAATATTCCATTTAAAAAAGTTACTCCAGCCAGGCATGGTGGCACACGCCTTTAATCCCAGCACTCGGGAGGCAGAGGCAGGTGGAACTCTCTTGAGTTCGAGGACAGCCTGGTCTACATAGTGAGTCCATGCTATTGGGAGACCCTGTCTCAAAAGGATTAAAAAAAAAAAGAATTACTCCAACTATAAAAGACATGGCAGAAGACAGGGGCATAGTTCACCTACACAGCGCCTTGATGGTTCAAACTCTGGCACCACAAAAAAAAAAAAGCAAAGCAAATTTCAATTTTGTGTAGCCTACTACTTATTTACACATGTAACAGGATCAATTTAAAGCTCTCTTTAATATATGGAAAGATAACACAACATAGAACCAAGCTAAGGTCTAAGAAGTTATTTGAATTTACTTAAACATTAATACTAATTAGTAGACAGCCATAAAATTAAAATTTCATAAGACTAAAACACATTTTTTAAGACTATAACACATTTTTAAAAATTATAAAACATTTATAATATGGTAGTAAGGGCCTGTCTTCTGTCAAACTAGCTGTATAAAAAAGAAACACTTACTTGATTTTTGACTGAGTCTTCTGAGATGCAGACTGATTTTTTGACAAGTTGAAAAAGAAAGATTTTTACATGTTAGTTTAGCAACTATATTAAAAATGCATGTATTACAAATTCACTCCAATTCTATGGTTCTTTTGATATAGAAAAATTACCTCTGTAATCCTAACACTTAGGAGGTTGTAGCAGGAGGAGCAAGAGTTCCAGGCCAGTCTTACTGACTTACATAGTGAAGACTCAGACTCAACACAAAAGCCACAAAAACAAAACAACTTTCTCAGGGTGTGACTGGAAAAATAAAAATGTACTTATGTAGTATATCAAGTTCTAAGATACAGTAACTCCAAAAACTGATGGTAGCATTAAGAGTTTCAGCTAGGCATGGTGAGGCATACGTGTTATCCCAGAATTGGAAGCAGAGGCAGGCAGATCAGAAGTTAAAGGACATCCTCAGTGACAAAGCAAAGTCAAGTCCAGCCTGGGCTACATGAGACAATCTTAAAAAAAAAAAAAAGAAAAGAAGAACAAAAAAAGAATTTTCTTTTTTTAAAGACAGGTTCTCACTATGGCCTGGAACTTATTATGTGGACCAAGTTGGCCTTACACTCACAAGAGATCCACCTGCCTCTGCTTCCTGAGTGCTGGGATTAAAGGAGAAAACTACCATGCCCAGCCCAAAGAAATCATCTTGAAGAAACAGTCTAACCTTCAGGTTTAAGTACAGTATCAAGCACTGCTCTGGAAACTGTAAAGGTACATCTCCATGGTTAACTTCAGAATAATATTTTGCTCAAAGACATCTCTGAAAAAATACACTAACCGTAAGGGAATAAGGTCTGACTTTTTTTCAGACAAGTCTTACTCTAAAGCCCAGGCTGGACTTGAACTCCTGATCGTCTTGCTTCTGCCTCCCAAGTGCTGCGATTATAGGCATATGTCACTATGCCCAGGCAACAAAGTAACTCAACTAATCTATACTTTCAAAAACCAGATGTGCACTGGTTAAGACTATATAAAGCTTAAAAACATGTCCTGGGTCACAGGTGGCCTCTAAATTATATCTAAAAGATAAAAGAAAAGATGGAGTTTAGAGCAAGGAAATAAGTAAAATCACCCTTAGGTCATGTGGGTCCACCTCAGAATTCCTCTCCAATGTTAACACATGAAGAAAATCTGAATCTAGGGGCTGGAGAGATGGCTCAGAAGTTAAGAGCACTGACTGCTCTTGCAGAGGACCAACCCTAACTCCAGTTCCAGGGGATCTGACACCCTCTTCTGACCTTTAGGAGCACTGCACGACATGGGTACACTTGCATACATGCAGGCAAAATTCACACACATAAAATAAAAATTATATATATCAATCTAGAGTCTATGAAGTGGAGATACTGACTAGACAATTATAATTCATCCTAGAACCAGGACAAAACTAGACCAAACCACAGCATGACAGAATGCCCTAAGACTATGTAACTTATTACCAAAGGGTTTCCTTACTACCCAAATGCCATTTTGTTGTTTACAGGCTAAGAATGGTTTAGATACAAAGTATTCCCTACCCCCCAAAAGAGTGAGTTACTGGTGCTATTTTGGGAATTGGGGCCTAGATGGAATAAGTAGGTCACTGGGGGATGTATGCCTTTAAAGGTTATACTGTGTCCCTTTTCTCTGCTCCTGCCATTCTTGATGTGAACTGCTATGCTCCTACTGCCCTCTCTAACAGGACTGAATAAACAGTGAGCCAAAATAAGTCCTTCTTCCTTAAAGGTGCTTTTCTCAGGTGTTTGGCCACAGTCATTGCAAAAGTCTGGCCTAGCCTCAATCTCAAATATTCTAAGACCTGAACAAAATTACAAACAGGTGAATTAAGAAGTCAATTTGTAAAGACCTCTCTAATCAGTTGCTCACTAATCACCCATTCACCTGGAAATAAGGGGCAAACATAGATGTACAGGGATAGCTGAACAGGGCTTCACTCTGGGAGCTGTTCTAAACTCCAGGCACTACCTATGTAGATTCATTGCCTGACACAAGAAATCTGCCTGAAGTAGACTAACTCTGTTAGTCCCAGCTTACACATGGAAAAAAAAAAAAAAAAAAAAAAATCTCTGGGAATAGTGGCCTTCTCAGTATCATAATGTTATTCTGGAAGCTTGAGATGGAAATGTTTCTTAAGAAATGAACCAGTGTTTTAAAAAGGTTAGTAAATGTCCATAAAGCATATTAGGACTACACACACATCTCCCAACTCCTTGTGATTTTCTTTCTTAAGTAGGTGATGACTACTACTAAAAAAGCATGAACCTGTAGGACTCTATTTCTATATGGTCATGCATCTCTTCCTTGGCTCTTACAATCTTCCTGCCCCCTCTTCCAGAATGGTCCCTGAGTCCTGGGTGGGTGGAGTTTAACACAGGAGTCCTGTCCAAAGGCCCACACTCTGCAGACTCTTATTCTCCTGGGACCTTGCTCATATGAACCTACAGCAATGGTGCAGCATGCAGAAGAACTATGCAATCTCAAGCAGACAAAAACCCAGCAAGGACTGGAAATCGGCAGCAGGCCCCAGTCTTACTCAAAGGATTATTGGCAGCTGATTACTGCTAGGTAAGAGATGATCTTCTTAAAGGAAGGAACTCTACACAGGCTGAACAGACACACTGAGAGACAGCTAGGGACTCTACTTGACACGACAGGCCTTAACACAAATGAAAGAATGCATGAATTATGGTGGAGGTGGGGGAGAATTGGGGAGAGTACCAGTGGGGAAGAGTATAAAATGATTAAAACTGATTAAGATGGTCTGTATGAAATACACAAAAATTCAAATTCAATAAAAAATTTGCAAAAAAAGCATGGGCCATAACTTTATTATACAGAAGCCTAAGCTAGTTATAAATATGTTACTTTTCCTCACAAATGCACCATAATTTTTAATAACACTTGAAGGTTTTCAGATCCAAAACAGTAACAAACATTAAAAATGAAACATATTAAACATTTCCAATTTTACTTTAAGCCTACTGTAAGAAAATTCCATAGGATTGTAACTATTTAACCCACTAGGAAGACTTTTGAGCAATGAAAAAAAAGGATATTGATCATGCTAAAGCCAAACCAACTTAGACAATACACTAAATTCATTCAAACAACCCAATAATTTTCATGATTTTAAACTTCTAGTTTATTTCACCAAAATTATTATTTCAGCTACTAATACAATATTCAAAAGAATTGTTCAATCTGAGAGAGAACTCATCCCAAGTTCTGGCTCAAATATATTTGATACATTGAAATTTAATATTACTAAGTAAAGCATGAAGAATGAAGACTCTGGACTTACCCCCTCAGATTCTAATCCTATAAAACAGAAAAAGAAAGCATTTTCAGATAATAGTACATTTATAGGTAAAGCTACAGACATGATTCCTCTTAGCAAGCATACCAACTAAGAAAGCTAATTCGGGCCGGGCGTGGTAGCGCACGCCTTTAATCCCAGCACTTGGAAGGCAGAGGCAGGGGGATCTTTGTGAGTTCAAGGCCAGCCTGGTCTACATAGTGAGTTCCAGGACAGCTGGGGCTACAAGGAGACGCTGTCTCAAAAAGACAAAAAAAGAAAGCTAATTCTTCACATATGTCAAATGAAGGAAAATGTTTAAACTTTGCTTCTTGGAGTCTAAGAGACTCCTTGGATTTTTTTATTTTTTACTGGTAATATAATATTCCTGCAAAGCAAATCCAAGCAATCTTCCTTGCAATATAAGAATAAAAACAAGGGTCATTGAGACTTGTTGGGACTTTGGTATAGCTTAGTGGTAGAGCACTTGCCTACCATGTACAAGGCCCTCAGTTTCATCCCTAGAACTACACACAAAAAATAAAGATTAAAAAATAATTGTTTAAGCCAAAAGACTTGAAGCATTTACTTCATTTTTAAATAAAAGACTGGAAACCTAACATACTTACCATTCTGAGTATCTTGACACCTTTTAATCCAGGTAGTAAAATTTACATCTGCACCTAGAACAACAAAAAACTGACTGTAACAGCCCTCATGTGCAGAATGTAACATATGCATTCAAAAAATACTACTGAGTATCTACTATGTCTCAGGCACTATTGTAGGCACTGAAGATTCAGGAGTAAATAAAATAAAAATTATCTGTCTGAACAGAGATTATAGCAATTATAGTGTTAAACTATAAATCTCACAATAGGCTTAACATTGAGTTTTTCATCCTAGACAACTGTTCTTATGTTTTTACTGTCCATCTCACTATTTCTCAGATATGTATAACTACGAACTACATTTCCCTCACCCACCTTGACCTTAAAGGAGCTTTCTGTCATACAATAAAAGCAAACTTGAATCAGATCCTCAATATGCCATCAGTTAGGGTAGGGTGAAGGCCTGCTAAGTGGCAGCTGGACTGAGAAGCCTCTCCTCGCTTCACCTTGCTCTGCAATGCAGCTGTCAATTCTATTATTTCCTCTGTGATTTTACCTTTTTTTTTTTTGGACAGGGTCTCCCTAGTCCCAGACCACCTAGAAGTCATTATGCTGGTTGGTCTTGATTTCGCAGAGATCTACCTGCTTCTGCCTCTCACGGGTTGGGATTAAAGACACACACCACCACGACCAGCGCGAGTTGACTTTTGTTACCATGCCTTTCTTATCAATACTAAGAAGTGTTTTTATACTTTGTGAAATTGTCATATATGCAACTTATACAATAGCCAAAAGACTAAACATAGAAAACCGTATATTTATAGAGAGGAATGCAAATGTGTGCATCAAAAAACTGTTTACTGCTGAAGATCCAAAATAATATCTAAATAGTTGCTGTGCCTAGTAAAATGTGTTAAAATATCAAGTGGTCTAAATAAAAGCTCACTAATTCATTTGAAAAGCAGTAAAACATTCTTGAAATGTCCTATTTTTTAAATATTTTATTATTTTTATGTTATGAGTGTATTGCCCTCATGTGTTTAAGTGCACCCATGTCTGCAATGCCCTCAGAGGTCAGAAGGAGGCATCATATCCCCCTGGAACTGGAGTTATGGACAGTTGGTACTGGGATTCGAACCAGGGTTAGTCAGTGTTCTTAACCACTGAGTCATCTCTTCAGTCCCAAATTTCCGAATTAAAATTAAACTATGCAAATGTTATAAAAATGTTAAGCTATGCACTATGTTCTACTAGGGAATTATTACATTAAAACACCAGTCTTAAATAACATATTATTCACATAATCAGTAACTAAAACGAAGCCTCTTACCACGATAAGGGGGAAGAAGGAATAAAGTTAAGAAATACAGAAGAGAGAATGCTTCACGTTGCTTTAGAGTTTTCAAATAATATCACAGAATTACAAAAGTATACTCTTTAAAATTTGCAAAGAATGTATTTATACTGACTTGATAAAACAGCTATGCAATTCATGCATCAAAATTGGTATAAACTCTCTCCTGCCCTCAGGCCTCTCTTGGGGTAAGTCTATCGTGCAGCCCTCCGCGCCTTGACTCCCCTGGCCACATTCACCCTTCCATCTCCCTGGCTGTTCTCTGCTCCTGGTTTGGGCCCTACGCAATTCCTGGTCTTGGGTCCCCAGACACCTGGGGAACCAGTGCTGCTTCCTGATCCTTTTCGCCCAGGCCAGCTTGGTGGCTTCCTTGGGCTCCAGGAGCACTGCTTCTGGACCTGGCCCTGCCCAAACCTCTCTCTGCTTCCCTGGACCTGCACCACTGGCTAACTCTCCTAACCTGCTCTCGATCCTCAGGCCTCTTGGGCTAGGTCTATCGCGCAGACCTCTGTGCCTTGACTCCCCCAACCTCATTCACCCTTCCATCTCCCCCGCTGTTCTCTACTCCTAGTTTGGGCCCTGTGCCATTCCTAGTCTTGGGGCCCCAGACACCTGGGGAACCAATACTACTTCCTGATCCTTTTCACCCAGACCAACTTAGTGCCTTCCTTGGGCCCCAGGAGCACTGCTTCTGGACCTGGCCCCGCCCTCACGTCTCTCTGCTTCCCTGGACCTGCACCACTGGCTAACTCTCCTAGCCTGCTCTCCTACCCTCAGGCCTCTCTTGGGGTAAGTCTAACGCGGAGCCCTCCGCGCCTTGACTTCCCCGGCCTCATTCACCCTTCCATCTCCCCCGCTGTTCTCTACTCCTAGTTTGGGCCCTGCACCATTCCTAGTCTTGGGTCCCCAGATACCTGCTTCTGGACCTGGCCCCACCCTCATCAACCTCTGCTTCCCTGGTCCTGCAACACCCTCCAGCCTCTTTCTGGGCCTGACAGCCTCTTTCTGGGGCTCCGAGGCTTACCATTCCTCTCCCTGATCCTTTGCATCCAGTACAACCCAGCTACTCAATCCACTCCCTGGGAAATCTTGGGGCTTCTTCCCTCCCCATCTGCCTTTGCATCCCTGAGTGGCACGGCCATGGCCAGGATATCAGGTGAGTCCAACACCCAAGTTCCTGAGGCCAAAAATCATCCTTAGAAGATTCCAGACTTAAGGAGAAAGTCTGAAAACTTCTGATCCACATTGGAGTTGGGCCACCGC